GTAACAAAAATTACTTACATTTGCACAAAACCATTATATCTTGATTTCACCTATTCAGTGGGTTTTAGGGTATGAAAATGCAGATAGGATTGGATGGACCACGCTGCTCGTGATACACATGCAAAATGTCCGGTTAATGTGGGGCTGACTCCTTTGTGTCAGCACTATGGTTAAAAATGTTAGATGTTTACAATATTGCTTGTATAACACAAACCTAAAATTTTCGAGGGGCACTTATTAACTTATACATAAATAGCAAAGCAATTAAATACATAACTTGGTTTTTCTCGTACTAAAACTTTTAAAAATATCTATTTAAAAATAGCGTATTCGAATTGTCAACCAAACCATTTAACTCAATTTATAAATCAAAATCATCGATGTTAAGGTTATTCGATACAAAATAGAGTTTATGTTTTATATATTTTCCACTAAATATTATTGTTTCCAATTTGGCTCATTATCTTCAGATCTAACGTTATTCAAACACAGAAAGCGGGAGATTTTACCACTTGTAAAATCTCAACATTGTATGATTTCTAATCGATAGCTTCACCGAATCGAATTATCGCAAGTCGTACTTCCTCATGACACCAAGGTATATTACCATTAATAAGATTTGCCCACTTGTCTGCAAATCTTAATAATGGTGATAATTTCAGAAACAGTTTACAAACAAAAACCGAAAGATGCATTAATAAACTTTAATTTTCATACTCATTCGAGTACAAGCAACTATTAAAGGGTTAGAAGTTGTTTTCACCTAATTTTTTTTGTTATTTAACTAGAGTAATAATATATGTTTTCTCTGATTTTGCATGTGTATAATTTAAAAACATTACCTGATTAATGATACAAAAAATGCTCCTAAAATCATAAAAGCTATTTTTCTAGAGCTTACAATTTTTGTTTTAATTTTTCTAGCTTTTATTTATTTGTTGCACAAGCTCTGAAGAGTTGACAACACTGTTGAGCTTTCGTATATACGTATATATATGTTTGACTGTATAAAAGTATATGTACACATATAAATGTAAATAATTCATATGTGTGTAATGGTGCCATGTGCATTAAGCCTCTACTGCTGTATTTTGTAGTTGTAAATATTTATTATATTTAAGCGAAGTCCCCTAAGCTGATTTTGATAAAAACACTTATCATTTAAATGGTAACTATATAAGAACTTAAATAAACATGTTTTCGTTTTGGTGAAAAATATATGAATATCATTGTGTGCATACATACATATGTATGTATGTATGTATTCTAACATGCATGCATATACTGTGGCGATAATCTCTTCGAACACAAGCGTTTGTCTTTTGTAATGGGGAAAAAAGATGTCAATATTCAGATTGGCTTTAAGTTAAAAATTAAAATCGCTCACTTTTGTTTTCTATGTCCTTTTATGACTCCGCATAGTCCCAGCGCCCTAGCTACCGATAAAATTAAACTAATAAAGGTTATTTTCGAATTATTTGATTAATTTAATAAACATTGCGTTCAAATTGCATTTTATGACAGGCAGCAAGTGAAGATTGTGGCATCCGCTTTCTGTACACTTGCTCAGTAGTTTACAGCTGATAGGAAGATATATCTTCGCTGCTGCCTTAAATATACATACATTTATATACATTTATGCTTTTTAACAATCACAGCCAATTAAAAAAATACTTTTCTATATTTGGCTACGTTAGAGTTTACCGTTTTATTTGAAACTGATAATCGGGTGAACTATGGTGTTGATTTTTATCGGAATATTATTTCTACTAATTGATTTGAATGTTTAACTGTTTACGAGTCACCAAACTTTGGTTTTAGGCCAAGTGTCTGTACATATGGAGGTGTCTGATGTGTATATAACTTCCCCCGTGCGTAATATAAATATGCTGTCAGTCTCAGGCTGATAAATAGGTATATTGAAGTTACACATTGCAACCGGAAAAATGTATGGTTTTAGAGCTAGGCACTTCAAAATTCGATTAAAATTTGTAATATCCTCGTCATCGATCGATGAAAATTATGAAAGTTGTATTTACGCCTTCTGCGGATATAAATTGGGATATGGGGAAAGACTATCTAGAATCGAAAAATTAAACGAATGAGTTACAGTCGGCGTATGCAATTGATGTTATACAGTAGGGAGCAAGTGTTTCCATAGTTGACACTTTCAACTTTGTGAGTCGATAATTTCCAAACGAATGAAGCAAATCAAAAACACTTTTTACCAATAATATGTATTTAATTCTTAACAAATTGCCGTATATAACAAAAACAAAAGTTAATCAGTAAAATATTTAAACAAAAAAAACTGAAACAAAACGCATGGGTACAATTTTGCACCTTCAGTGAAAACAATTAAATATGATTCTAAATTAATATTTTATCCACAGGCCCTTATTAGCTATTACATTTTTTATTCAGTTTGGCATACTCTCGACCAACTTCTCTATGGTTTCCTTTGAAACTCGGTTCTACTTCAGTTCTACACGCTTCCAAAGATCGTCTAGGTTGGATGGCATTGATTGATACTGCCCGAGCCGTCGCTTCACGATTGACCACAGGTTCTCAATCGGATTAAGTTCGGGACTTTGAGCTGGCCACTCCATCAGCATAAAATCTTGGTTTTGTAACCATTCGCGGACAATTTTGGCAGTGTGCTTTGGATCCCCATCTTGTTGAAAAATGATTTCCTTTACGGGATATGCACACTTGTCCAGAAAATTGGGTAGACAGGTTTTCAAAATATTGAGATAGTCTTCTTTTAACATTATACCATCAATTTTATGCAATGGTCCAATGAGCCACCAAGTAAAGCATCCCCATTGCCTCCTCCATGCTTAACGGTTTGCTTCACAAGGTGTTTTTGAAGCTTGTCCCCGGGCCTGTACCAATAGTATTGCTTGCCATCTGATTGAAAACGGTTGAACTTGGATTCATCCGACCAGATGACACGTTTCCAATCATCTACAGTCTAATTCTTATGCTCCCGGGCGAATTTCTATCGAGCCTTGACATTCTTCTCGGATAGAGTTGGTTTATTTTTTTTCACACTTGCCACATATCCAACCTTAGCTAGTGCTCTTCTAGCCACCCGCCGAATCACGTCTTTTCCTATGTCCTTAGATGCCTTCTTCGGTGTTAGGAGCTTATCAGTCTGGCGTCAGAGTCCTTTAAGAGTCGTTTGCGGCCTTTAATAGTGTTTTTGGATGTACCATTGCGTCTTTTCTGGACTTCGGACAACGCTGAATGAAAAATATTAAGTTGATCTGAAGTACTACGAGTCGAATAGCCACTTTCAGTTAGGCTAATAATACTATTTTCGACATCTGACGAAAGCTTCTTCATTTTTTCGTGGTACTTTGTAGACTAATTGCTAAAATTAACAAATCTACTTCAAATAATAAGAAACACGTGGATTTCTGAATCATAAAAGTGTAGAATGCATACATAAAACATATAAGGGTAAAACTGCATGTCTATTGCCGATAAGAGAATTAAGAAATCAAACCAAAGTAAGAATATCGGAAGGTGCAAAATTGTACACATGCGTTTTGTTTCAGTTTTCTTTGTTTGAATATTTTACTGATTAACTTTTGTTTTTGTTATATACAGCAATTTGTTAAGAATTAAATACATATTATTGGAAAAAAAAAAGTTTTTTTGATTTGCTTCATTCGTTTGGAAATTATCGACTCACAAAGTTGAAAGTGTCAACTATGGAAATACTTGCTCCCTACTGTATATATATATTATATATTAATTTCTCTTGACAAAATGTTATATTATGATATTATTTTTACTTATATTCTTTAATGAAGTGATAAAGTTAATTTGTTTTCTGCAATGTCCGTCCGTCTGTCCGTATGAACGCCGTTATTAAAGCTAGAGTCTTTATAATTACAACATATCTGTAATAATGGCGACCATCTGATAAAGACTTTCCCAATACACCCATTAGGAGTGTGGGAAATTGTACAATACTTTATGTGTTATATCAGAAACGCTATGTGCATACATTTATTGGTTTTGTACAATGTTCGTCTGTATGTCAGTATGAACGCAAGCCGTTTCGTTGCTATTACACCTTGATTTAAAATTTGGATAGTGTAAAATCGGATAAAACTGTGTAGTGAAAAGCACAGAAGAAGAAAAAAAAAAAAGAAAAGAAATTTGACATTTTTAATATATATACTTGTGAGTGCAAACTGCATCTAAATATATATGGATTAAAAATCTACAAGCTTTAAAATTCAATCTTCCAAGTTTCCGATTTTTAATGGGATCAGGGTATAAATAGATACACATACATTTGATAGAAAAGAAAGTAAGTAAGAATTGACCGTCGGGCGATCGACGCGTAATAATTGTGAGGTCTATGTTTTATTGATCGTTCATAAGAGTAAGGGTGTGATCTGCCAAACAAATTTGAATAAATATGAAAATTAAAAAAAAAGTATGCGGTTAAATATTCGAGAGTTTATACATACAAGCTGGCTTAGGTTGACTCATAGTCGTGATATATATATATTATGTTATATTATATATTCAATGAATTTAGGGTACAACAAGCAACAGTCCTCTAGTCGATAGTGTCACTTCCTCAGTGATAGCAGCTATAACATCCAGAGACTTCAAATATTGGAAAAATATAAGATTTAATAGTACGATAACCGTTTCCATGGGACATCGAAAGTTGTATGTGAGGATTAGAGTGAAAGAGTCACGAATAACCGCTATCTCTCCACAAATATGAATCAATTACTTAGCGTTGGTTGATCTGAAAAAACTGTATTGAACTTATTTTTTCAGATTTTTATTTTGTTTTGTATCGGGCTGATATAAGATGTGAAATTTCAAGCATACGGTATACGATATGTACTACGTAATAATATATATAAATATATCCTAAAATAAAAGGCAGTGTCAGTATGCTCTTCGCATCAGCTTTCATATTTCATAAGTAATATATTTTAATAATAAAAAAAAATTTTTTTTAGTAACTTATATATATAAAAAAAGCATCATATGCAGAAATAATGTGTTCGAATCCAAGGATTGTACGTAGAACAATGTGGAATTATTCAAAAATTGGAGGTAAGTTTCTCTATAAAACTAAATTTTTATTTTTTGTTGATTATTTATATAACTAGAATGTGTTGAATATGGAAATCGGTTGTAAAATTTCACTAAAATTTCTCAGTTTATCATATACTGTCGATCAGGTTTACCCGAGCCTTAAGCCTTTCCATTTATCTATCTACCCGTGCATCTATTTGCATGAATCATCGATCTTGCAGCCTATAAGAGTTACAATGAATGAGCATTTCAAGTTAATGTAATAAGCGATTTGTTTAACCATTTTAAATTAAAAGCGTCAAAACGTATATCTAATTTCTGTTATTTGTATTGACCTATATGACTAATGCATCATTTTATACCATACGAAATAGATGTAGTTGAGACAAGGAGCCTGAATCATTGCATGCTTCTTTTCTCCAAACATTACGAATAACATGTACAAATGCATGCAAACGCAAGCATAAGCATGCGTTTTATGTCCAACTAATTAAGCAGGTACACTGTAGAAACTTAATTGTTTATAAACTCGAACTGATTATACATTACTATGCATTCAAAATTTGAAATCTTTAGCTTTTGTAGCTTATGAGATCGGACAAAAGAATAGGGTTAGATCGACTCAGCTTGACGTCTTGAAATTAGATTTCTCCATCTGCCTGTTACATACATTTACTGAATGCCCATTTTTAATATAACCCTGAAGCCATTCAAAATGGAAAGATATATATGCCTTGTGGTAAAATATATAGAACAAGATGGGGTTATAGGATGAAATAAGACCGATACGCGTAGTAAAACCGTGGTTATTTAAATTGATAAAGAAATTTGGTACATACACTAGGAGTGACAACGCAAGATTAAGCAAGTCTGAAAGCTCTAGTCGGGGGTACCCCATTAAGACACTATAGCTTTAGGTAGTTTTTTATCTTAAGTTATGCGCTAGAACTTTGCGCAATCCTTTGGTTTTGCTGAGTTCACCAATACCGCACTTTACTTTACAAATTTGCGATAATATTGTTATAGTCCGCACTCGCAATAACCTACTATTTTATTTTTTTATAATTTTTAATTACAGATAAAATTTCAGCCAGACTGGTTTTATATTTTCTTTCCTGGTCTGGGTTTTTAGTATCATTCATGATGCGTAATGATATGAATTTTGCTTTGGTTGCTATGATATCAAATGGCAATGAAACACAGAAAGAAAATGAAAATGTTTATGTTTTAAATATGGTAATACTTACATATATACAGCTCTTCCCTCCAATTATTAAATTGTATTCCAAATTGCAGGGTAGTGGCACAGAAGATCATACATCGATAGTGAAATCTGTGATTATAAGCTCATTTTATTGGTGCTATGTGCTGTCTCAAGTAGTTGGTGGAGTCGCAACACAAGCTTTTGGAACTAAGTGTGTATTTGGATGGTCGCAGTTGGCAACTGCTTTTTGCAGTTTACTTATGCCATTGGGTGCAGAATTTCATTACGCTATTGTTATATTCTTACGCTCTGTTCAGGGATTTGCATCTGGCTTAACTTGGCCTGCAATGTACGCAATGGTGGGCTATTGGATACCAATGACGGAGCGTTCTCGGTTTATGTCAAGTTTTCAAGGATTTAGTATTGGCATAGGTCTGACATACCCACTATGTGGATTTATTATAACAACTTTCGGATGGCACCTGGTTTTTTATACAACTGGTGTATTGGGAATTGGATGGTGTGCTCTATGGTATATTTTAGCATTTGATACACCACAACAACATCCCCGTATAACTAATGAGGAATTAAATTACATAGAACTGCATATCGGGGAAGATATACGAAAATCATTCACAGTAAAAGTTCCTTGGGGCCATATCTTTAGATCATTACCAGTATGGGCGATTGCAGTTACAACATTTGGTAGAATTTTCGTACATTATGTTTTTATAGTTAATGGGCCGGCTTTTATGAATCATATTCTTAAGTTCGAATTTGGAACAAATGGAATTTTGTCGGGATTGCCTTTTCTTTGCTCATACATCTCTTCAGTATTTTTCTGTTATATTGCAGACAAACTATTATTGAATAATATTTTGAGTCTTTCTAAAGTAAGGAAATTGTTCACGGCCTTATCGCAAGTGGTTCCTGGATTACTTATATTATGTTTAGGGTACATAGATAATATTACTTTTCTCTTAACAATTTGGTTTATTGCTGTTATTTTTATTACGGCATCGTACGCTGGAGCAATGGCCAATATTATAGATATTGCGCCAAACTATGGACACTCAGGAGCAGTATTAGCATTCTGTCAAACGATCCATATGTCAGCATCATTTCTGTCACCATTGACTGTTGGATTCTTAGTAACTCAAGAGGTAAATTTACCTAACCATTAAAACATAAGTGTGTTATCGTGCATTTTTATGAACCTACTACAAATTTATTTAAAAGCTTTTTTTTATATGAAACAATCTGCTTTTGTTTAAACGCTTTTATAAAGGTATTTTGAAAAGATGTGTATTTTGGTAATCATTTTTATACCGTGATCCCATTAAAAATGGGAAATCGGGGTATAATGGTTTTATGCAAATGTATGTAACAGGCAGAAGGAGGCGTGGCAGACCCCATAAATATATATATATATTCTTGATAAGGACGACAAACCGAGTCGATTGAGCCCTGTCCGTCTGTCTATCCGTCCGTCTGTCTGTCCGTCTGTCCGTATGTGTCAACGCGTGGATCTCAGCATCTATAAGAGCTAGAGACTTGAAATTTTGTATTTAGTTTTATGTATATTTTATGCAATTTTAATTTTTGTTGGATTTTGGATACCTGCCCCGATACTTCCCCAAATTCTTAAAATTTAAGTTTAGTTGGAACTAGGCCCATTATGTGATGGCGTTTGCATCTCTACCAAGTCAAAAGAATATGTAGATCTTATGCTGAAAATTTCATTAAAATCCATTAAGTAAAACAGAAGTTATTAAATAAAACGTTTGGCCAATTTGCAAAAGCACATGTCAGCTCGTAAGCGGTTAATCCCTGGGTTCAAGCCTGGTGGTGATTGAACATTTTTTATAGTTTTATTTTTTAATTATGAAGTGGCGGTGTTGGTATAGTTGGTGCGCGTTACGTAAAAATTATGGGTTCGAATCTTGGTGTGGTAATGTCAGTTTTCATTTGTCTTTAATGCTCGATACAAACTACGGAAACTATTAAAAAACGCAGATAGGACTGGGATCAGGTACAGAAGGAAACGAGCAGATCAGATGTATATTTCTCTTCAGGGTTGTCCACTCATATTAAGTTTTGAAACGACGTTGCAATAATTGCATACGGTAAATGAGATAACTTGGCAAAAAGTGACAAAATAAGTGATATACACTGCAGTCTGTCATTCATTAGTCTGACTCTTACATACATTTACACAAAAATTCCTATTTAAAAATCTGAAGTTATAAGTTATATAATATAAATATATATTATTATTATATAACTTGTTAGAGCTTAAGATTCAATTTTTATTTTTACCGTGAATTACTATTGTATATTCGGTAGCGCCCGACTGCAATCTTTTTGTTTTCTTTGTATTTTTAGAATGTATATACTAAAAGAACTATTAGTCATAATGCTCCCAATTGTGAATACAATGTGAATTGAGTTAATCGTACGTGTGCACAGTTCCAACTTTTAGTAACTCAACTTAACCCGGCATTTAAGACAAATAAAGAATGTACATTTACTTTTATCACTATTTTAAAATAAGCAAGATTAAATTAAAATTATAAAACTTACTTTGTTCTTATTTTCTCTTTTTTTAGGATTCAATAGATCAATGGAGAAGAGTTTTTGAAGTGTCAGGAATTATTTCGATAGTGACATATTTGTTTTATCAGTGCTTTGGTACTGCAGAAATACAATGTTGGAATACCCAACAATCAATTACCGACAATCACCGACATGAAGTGATAAAAATATTGCCCAAAGAAAATGGAGAGAAAACTACATTCCTAAAATTAAAAAAATAAGTGTATATTAACAATACAATTAAATGTTTATCACACATGCATAAAAGTTCACGTTTATTTTATAGTGATAAGTTAATGTTAATGATAGTTTAATGTTAATGTTAATGTTAATGATAGTTTTAAATGTAATGCTAGCAACCGATTTTTATTTAAGAAATATCTTACAACTGCATTGATGTAATTACACTCTAAGCGGGAAATTGCGTAGAAAACATAATTGAAACTATACAGAAATTAATTATAAAATTAATAAGTGACTCGATTTCTTCTAAATAGAGGAAGTAAGTTAGTGGGATACCTACATTACATACAGACCATAATAGAAGATGGCTGCATACAACCATAAATATTCTTGGAATGACTACACTGTAAAGAATGATATATGTATTTATTGTTTATATTCATATTGCTATCAACAAGCACACTAGTGCTGCGCAGCTGGAAGCATTATATATTTTTGTAAATACTCCGCAGGATCGACTTTGTTAAGTGAAATAAGTGCCAATGTTGCATTGGCACTTGCGATAAATAGATAAATTGTAAAGAATAATGATTACCAAGTCCAAAATGGGTAGAAAACCTAATGCGTTGCGGCATCAACTTGTCGTGGGGGGAGTATGTAAGGTATGTAATTGTTAGCCGCAGCAGCTATCACTCTTAGAACAAGTTATTTTAAGTCTATCTTCTCTTTTGAGTTGTTGCATTCATTGTACATATAAGCGCACCCTACTTATACTTTTATTCTTTGCAGGTATTTAAATAAATAGCTAAATAAATTTTTACACTTTGATGACTTAGCAATCGAAATTGATTATTATATTTAGGCACACTGCAAGAAGCCCCAACATACAACATATAGAAAAATACAAGCAAAATTTATAGACTCTAGATTCAGGGTATAACTATTATAAGACTTACTTGCTCCCTGACAATCAAACTTCAGCCACTGATTCCGATATTATAGCATCTTCTCTGCTACTGTCCGTCAATTAAGTTATTTACATCAGAAGCTCTGCCCACTGACATATAAAACTGAAATAGATTATCTACAGCGTCGCCATAAAGTCGCCCCTCAGGCTAGCTGAAATTGCAAATTTTCAAGGAAGAATCAATATCAACTGTCGTGGAAGATGAGGCATCGTAAACATGGCACTGCTCAGCTGCCGCTACGCATCGAATTAGAGTGCGACGTAATTTTCCGAAACGGCCGGTGGAAATCAACAAATAAATGGATAAGCTGCTGGCCAATGAATAAATGGTGGCTGTGTGAGTGTGGTTGCGGAGTAAAGGATACATATCAACTGCCACGAGTGCATCATATTCTCGACAAGCAGCGAGTCTGGAGGTAAAATGTGAAAATGGAAAATGTGCATTAAAGAAAAGGCGCGAAGCGGGTATACGAAACGGCTGCAAGCGGAGGCGCAGCACATGCAATCTGCGCAGCTGGGACGAGTCACCACGCAACAGTAACGGATGCTCTCTTAGCCAATGGGAACCTGCTACGAGATCAGACGAGTTTACCGGTGCAGTATATGGCGCAATGTTAACATGCAGAGTCGACAGAGCTCAGAACACGGATATATAAGAACATCCAAGGATATCATCTTGGTCTGGTCTATTCCCAACTGGGTCCAGAATGTACATCAACTTTTGTGGACAGCTGAGCAACACTTATATTCTTGACTAACTTCAATTCCAAACTAATTTTTTTTATTTTATTTATACATCAAGTACAGCTAATCCATTTGGAAACCGAATAACGGGAGGGCAAATATAATGAGCACAGTAATCCCGCTCTCATCACTGCAACTTGTGCTATTTTAGTAGTAAAGTTTATTCTAAAATTTTCAAGCACTTAGCGTATTCATAATTTAAAAGATTCAATACCAAAATTATTTAGGTACTAAGCGGTAGGGGCGCAACACGATGAATATTACGGATCGGTTTTGTATGTGGCACTCCTGGTCTTTACCACCACCATTCCTATCCTACCATCTCCGCCGGTGATCGCTTCAGTCACCACGCTTAGCTGTCACTGTTGAGGCAGCCGCTCAATAGGACGATCCCATTGACCAGTCTAGAAAGATCGCTTGATTTTGGAGATCAGCTGCCATCTCTCAAACATGTTAGCTTGACGACGTTTTCTGGCTGCGTTGACGAGAACGGCAGCGGCCCAAGCTTTCGTTGATGCTGAAAGGGACTATTCGCCGAAAATTTAATATATCTTCACCAGAACTGTAGCCAGTTCATTATGTTGCCTATTGCCTTGAGCAGCAATCCTTTTGCCGACTTCACTGCAAATTCCACTCTCCTTTCCACAGCAAACATTTGTATGGTAGCTATGTTGGCATTCACGAAATTGGTGGTCTTGTAGCAATAAAGATTCCTGACAATGCCAAGTTATTTAATGAGACTGGATAAGAAAAATATAAAGATATGCATACAAATTTCCCAAGAATTCCTAAGGAAACGAAAATTGGACTACAGAAATCCACTCCTTAAACGGTTGGCGGCAAAATTCCCCTTTATTCGGGATAAAAGTTTTGGTTTATTGCGAAAACAATCCACGCATTTTCACACTACACATCATTAACCAACCAAATCTGTATTCAATAACCGACCCCCTACTCGTAACAACCACAACACTCCTGTCATGCTGATGTGGCAGCAGAAACGGTGTTAATTTTTGATAAGCTAGTTGTAAGACTGTTGTTTTCTCTAATTTAAGAATATTGTCCTGCAAAATAAATAATAAGATTTAAGTTCTTTAACTGAACATGTGTTCAAATTTTAAGAAGGCAGAATGAAGAACAACCTCCAAATCTGACAAAATTTGATCTATTGGAAAATCCAGTAACTTAGACTTTTGGGCTAGCAACCTGCTGATGATAAAATCATCTTTTTGCGCTATTATGTATAAACAACAATCATAAGCTGTCGTGGAAGCATCAGCACATCCATGGTCTTGACTGGTATAAGGAATGAATTTAAAGTAAATTATGTGGTTAATCTAGTCTAGTTCTTGCTTCATTTGATAGGTAATTGGTCGGCCCACCCAAGATTATGCAACCACATTTTGTGTAGCAGGACCTTAGCATGAGTTGCTAAATTATAGTAAATCTAAAGGATCATACAGTAGTACCACAATAGATTTATCGATTTGGTAGGGCTTATATCTATAGAAATATTCAAAATTAAACCTAAGGTCGTTGTGTCTTTTTCATGATCAATGGCAATGTTCTTGCTGGCTGGGTGCACTGCTATTTGCTCACAATTGGACGATCATTTTGTGAGAGGGTAGCCAAACGCTTTAATAATTGTTATTAAGGCTTAATACAACAAACATAACTCTTCAATGGTGTCTGATCCTGTCAGCAAGCCATCGACTTAAATGTCATGGGCTAATAACCTTGCAGAAGCTTGATGAGTAGAAGCATGAATGTCGCTCAGATGGTTGCAGCATTGAAATGTTTTCTTAGCGCTGCGCCATTAGTTACGTATCAATGATAAATAAACTGAATTGCGGCTCTCTCGGAATTTGATTGTCAGTTGGGCTATTACCTAAGGCAATGTACCCCTTCATGAAGGCAATGTACTCAGGTCGAATGTCGTCTTCCTCGAACCAAACTCTCAAAAAGAACAATAGTAGTGTTCTGAGAAATCGCCGCTAACTCTTGATATCGTCATATTAGACATTTTTGGAGTGTGGCACGGAGGCAATCATAGGAATATTGTCGTGACTCTATCGTTTTAATAATTAATATTTTAATATTTCTAATCTACTAAATTTTTATTTACAAATTTTTCCGATACCAGCATTGGTTGATTTAGAGATTACAAAGTTTGTTCCTGACTAATACTAAAATTATTAACCAGATTTTCGAAGACTCATCAGAGCTTTCGGATTTGTTATGGGTAAGCGTTCATATGTAACAAGGACCCCCTTATGCAACCCACTATGATAGTATGTCCGTTGCCTACACCTGACATTGGCAATCGATGGAACAACTTCCATTCTCTTGCACCTGAATCTGTGCTACGCTATTCCTGGCACTTGATTTTTGGCAAAGTTAACGATGTATAGAATGGTCTTTCAAAATATGGATTGCTTTAGCAAACGATGCAGCGAACCGGCATCTTTCAATTCTGTTTTTAACCTTACGAATCAACGCCAAGGCGAATAACAAATCTTGTGGGTGTCTTCTTGACTACATATCGGCATAGATGCAATCATGTCTGACAATGATTGCGTCATAACTTAGGACGGTGATGTAAGAACTGTCCTACGCATGTAACTTAATATTTGTTTCAAATAATCCATAACTATTCCCGTTTTATTGTTATCGATTAAAAACAGGATCGAAATGCTGTTAAGTGAATCCAAATTTTGTTTTAATTTTATGTATATTTTATACAATTTTGATTTAAAATTTAAGTTCAGTTGGAAATAGGACCAAAATGTAAAGGAGTTTGCACTCTTACTAAGCTGAAAATTACTCCAATCGAATATGTAGATCATATGCTGATAATTTCATCTAAATCCATTAAGTAAAACCGAAGTTATTAAACAAAACGTTTGGCCAATTTGCAAAAGTACGTGGCAAGCAGAGCCAAGCGTCTACATTTTTCCTACACATGTGCACAAATACATTCAAATGCATGTATTCTTTTCTATTCAAAGAATTGCAATAGTGAATTGAATTATGCTTGAATTGTCAGCTCCTACTTGAGGTAACGCTTATTGTCGAAAATTTCTGGGTTCGAACCCGATTAAAGTCTTATTAATTATTGCTTTTAAATCTTAGCGCATCTTGGCACCTGTGAATATATATGAATGCCATTTAAAGACTTAAGTCTTGTATAACCTACTACTGGATATATTTGAAAGAAGTTAAATTGATTTGTTAGATAGTGCACCATCACAGCATATTCGAGGATTCAATTTTAAGTGGTATTCAAGTTACACGTAAAAAGTTAATTTTTTGATTTTTATATCGATAGTTTTGGCAATATGATTAGCTATCGAATACAATAATAAATTCTTACTGCAATATATATATGAGTATGCATATAAAATTTCAGGTCTCTAGATCTTGTGATTTACGAGATCGCTGCGTTAGAGAGCATCTCCCAATACATTGCCCAAATCAATTTTAACTATTTAATGATCTCACCGATAGTCTGAAAAATATCAGTGATTACACTAATAATAAGAATAAGATTAGCGACATTATACCCTTTGATCCAGGTGCCATGGGTTTTCGACAGTGATAGTATATCATCGCTGGCAGTAGACTGTTTAAATATCTATAAAATTATCTTAATGGCAGTTAAAATGCAACATAATAGTTGTGATGCATGCTTTGGAATATGGTAAAAGTCGATTGCCAGCTCTTGGGCAACTGCGGAATGCAATTATGCATAAGCACATAATAGTATTTGTAAATTCTAGGACTTACAAAGCTCATATATAAAAAATCAAAATTAGCAGTCAAAAATTGTATATCGTAATCAGAAATTCATAAAAATTGAAAGTAATATCTTCAACAATAAATGCTTATAAGTGTGATTTTGTAGCCCTGTTACTGAAAGAACTAGTAGTTCGCAAAGTAATCAAAAGGTAAAAGAACTATCGAAATGAGTTATTTTCGGTGAGCTGAATGTGGGTTGTAAAACAATGAAAAACTGATAAATCGTGTTTACATTTGTTTTCTAATTTGGTTTAAAGCTATAATTTAAAATATAATAAAACAAATAAAAGGTGTGCTTATTCCATAAAAAGTGTAAACAAACACTAATTATTTATAATAATGTATAATGTACCACATAAGTATCGCCAAGTTTGTCGATTGTGTCTCACTTTGGTTAATGAGCGCGATATTGCAGATCTACAAATTTATAACAGTGAAAAAAATGCTGAAGAAAAATCTAAAACCCATTGTAATTATGATGTGAACCAGTGCAATATAAATGAAAATGTATCAAAATGTGTATGTAATGTATTTGACCCAAAAACATGTTGCTGTCAATGTGATAACTCGTTATCAGCAGCGCAAAATAATAATGAAATTGATTCATTTAATCAACTTCATAAAAGTAATTACACACCGAGTGTGCCTTCTGCTTCTGCCAACCCGCCATGTATTATTCAAACTGATATATTTGATCCCTTGTTTTCAAATAAAAACAAGCCACAATGTAATTCGACGCCATTACATTTTCAAGCTTCACTACCGAGCAAAGATGTAAAATTAAAAAAAAAAATAACATCTAAAACGATCGGTCCCGGGGAGCATCATATTAAACATAGTTTATCCAACATGGACTATGACACTGCGCCCACAAACAAATTTTTTTATAAATGTGACGAAAATACCTCAACACACGAGGAGAACAGCCAAGAGCATAAAGATGATTCATCACCATACATTACAATTCAGATATTTAACTGTCTCTCTATTAAGGTAAGGGGAAGTAGCTTTTAATTCAACACAAAAACCCACACTCGTATGAACATATGTGTATACAAATGCTTAAAGATGTGTGTGCTCACGTTGTTTGTCAGTCATTCATACTTGTATATGTATGTAATGTGTAATTATACACATGCTGTTATTACATTTAAAAATATGAGATCAAAATATGAATGCAGATGTATAGGGGTACGTATATACATAATTACATGAATATAATAGTAGTATATGTGCGAGTATGTGAACTATTCAGCATTAGTTATGAAAATATAGCGTTATAAATTAAAATTAGCTTCAAAAATATCAACTTGGAAATGTTTATGTAAACTTAAATAAGAAAATTTTTAATTTAAATAAATTTATACACATCTTATATTTAAAATAAGTAAAAAAAAAAAAAAAAAAAAAAAAAAAAAAAAAAAAAAAAAAAAAAGGTGAGCGTGACTATCAGATACCCTGAGCCCGAACTGATCTGCGTTTTCAAACATACTCCATAGTTTGTATTTCGGCGTGGATACACAAATCACTCGCAGTTTTAATTATACCCGCACATCTATAGATATGTTATTTATTTATAACAAAAAGAACTAAAACTCACAATATAAGAAAACAAAAAAATAACGAAACAAAATTTTAAAATACGCATATGCGGACAGATAGACGCATAGGTATAAGTCTACTCAGCTCGCCGTACTGATAACTATGAAGTTTATTGTTTATCTGCTAAGTTCTGCATACCATCATTGTAGAAGTTGTGATAGTGTAGAAAGCAATTCCTTACGGTGCGTATAAATGAAAAGAACTGTAACGACGTACTAAAAAAAGTTTTAAGCAATACGTGAAATCACGTATTCAGAGCCCAAATTTCATGATATTTATATAGTCTTTATACTGCCCGAATTACATATCATCAGGAATATTTAGGAATGGTTGCAGGTTTACGAATCGGGATACCAAGATATTACGAAAAAAAATGTATCAAATTGCATTGCTGAATTATATGATTCTATTCCCAGTCAAATTGCCGAAGACATTTCGAAACATCTGCGGTTTTAAATATTTTATATGTCTTGTAGCGAGCATAAAAAAAAACAACAAATAAGTCAACTCGCATCAGCTCCTGTGCCAGAAGTTAAAAATCTCAACTAAAGTAGCAGCTGACGATTAAGCACAATTCAATTTTAATTGCGATTCTTCGAATGCACGCATTTTAATGAATGTTTGCAGATGTAGAGGAAAAATGCGTTAATTTTGCACTGTTTGTTACGTGATTTTGCAAATTGGCCAAACGTTTTGTTTAATAACTTTGCTATATTACGTATTTTTCTCCCATTTTTCAGCATTGCAGCTTTTCCAACCGAACTTAACAAGAAACTCTTTACACACTGAAAAACGTTAGATGCAAATTAAAAGCCTTTTGTTCAAATTAACGAAATTATGAATAATGAACGAATTATTATATGAATAATACGAATAATTATAATGAACTAAAGATAAAACTAAAAATGTGTTATAAAATAAAAAACAAAAATTAAAACTTCTCTTTTGTTAAGTTGTCAAGAAACTGCTTATACAAAATACTTTGAACGGTTTTAACTTAAGATAGAAATCAAATTATGCTAATTTGAATATTTAGGATGATTTCCCGTAGCTTTTAACACATGGTGGAGGCGCTGTCTCATGGAATCGACCATTTTTCTTAAGTATTTAAGAGGGAGCTTTTGCCACACAGCATTTTGCCGTGTCTGGTTCTTTGGATTCCATTTGTTCTCTTCTCTTTAGGTAGGCTCACAGATGTTTAATGGAGTTCAGATCGAAACTGTGTGGTGGTGATTCAAGAACCTAGCCACAATTAATAAATCTCCTTAAGCTTGATAGAATTTAATTTATTATTATTACTATTGAAGAACCCAAATTTTATTTGCACTTCTCTTTAAATTCATCGTTAAAATGTTTGTCATGGTGTCCTCTATAAATGTCAGCTCGTCGGCTAGAGATATACAACCAAACTATAACAGATATTTTAACACTTGAAATGATTCTGATTAAAAAGGAAGTTGTTACCTTCCGCCATAATCTGGATAGAACATTGTTCGAGTACAGCGTTACTTTTGTTTCGTCGCAAAATATGATGTTTTCCGGCGGACTAACCATGCTTACAGCTAAATTAAAGCGTTTTTCTACATTTACCAATAAAATCTGTGGTTTCTTTCTCAACTCAACGCAACTCGTGAAGAGTACTTATGCTTTATGATGGCGTACTGTTTCATGTGTTTTGTTTTGATATTTGCAGATTTTGGTCAATCTTCTGCATTATTAAGCGGTTTGGCCAACTGTAAATCTCTCTTTTACGTCCAACTCTGCCCTTTTCTTTAGGACTGCCTTCGCTATTCGTGCGAGTTATAACGTTGGAATAGAAAACCCTTCAGATAATTCTGGAACAGATTTGCCCAACTTGTGATTATAATAAATCAACTGGACCATAAAAAAGCTATATATAGAAAATTCGTTTATTAAAATAAAAGGCATTTAATTTTGCATCTAAAGTCAAAAATTGTTTATATTTGCTGTGTTAAAAGAGTTCAAGACAATTATATACGTTTATATATTGTTACCAACTCCAAATTTCCCCGAATGTTTTAAATAAGTATAGCTGGAAATAGCTACAAAACTGACAATTCTGCCAATGAAATACCTAGATCATATGCTGAAAATTTAATTAAAATACATTAACCCAAAAATATATTGAACAAAACGTTTGCACAATTTGAAAAGGCACGTGACACACAGCACAATTCTAACGCATTCACACATTCATCAGATGCGTGCAATCTATTTTGTTCAAGCAATCGTAGTTGCAATTGAATTATGTTTGAAATGTAAGCTGATACTTTAGCTAAGATTTGAAACTAGAAGCTCGTTGCAAAGAAGCTTATTATTATTTATTACTGTGATGTTAAATTATATTACATTTTATAAATCGTTTCATTCGTATATTTCAGCCATTTCCAAATGATGGGTTTCCTTCTGTTATATGTTATGATTGCCGAATCAAACTTGAATCATTTTGGAAGTTTCGCAACATGGCACATAATTCACACTTTGCATTAAAGGAATTTTTGGCATTATCAAAAACGTGCGATATTGTAAGTATTATGCATTATGCGATGTATATAATTTATACTTTGCATTTATTGTCAATTAAAATAATTTACATATATCATGCCCTACAAATTTTCTTAAGTCAAAAACAATTAATAACGCTACGTAAAGGGATAAGAAAAAGCCATTAATCCTGGGATTTAAAGGTTTTCTGATAATGTATTTCAGAGTATCTATGGTATGGCAATACGGCGTGCGAGTGTGTATTTCGATAACTCAACACATATTATCAATACATGTCGAAACATTTATTTTGATTTTTAAGTGTAGTTTGCATAGCTAGCTTACTGCACAATTCAGATTTACTGTGTTGTCTAATTTTCCGAAAAATTGTGTTTTAAATACTAGATACTTGAAATAGAAGATCTTAAGGGTATTTTCTAGTAGGGAAGTTCCGATTAGAGCACTCTAATTTGCATAATACATACATACTTAAATATTGTTTAATCTACCAATTTATAATTTACCTAAATAATTTTAAATCATTTATAAAATGTACATTGAGTATACTTATTAATTTTAACTTAGTTATTGTCTTTAAATAATACAGATATAAGACAAGTAAGAAAGCTCTAATCAGGGGTGCCTGACTGGAAGATACCATAAAACTCGACCGGTCTGCGATTATTCTTAGCTTCTATCTAAGCATTCACGCACTTACACTAAACTAAGCACAATAAGAGTATGATTGCTATGGTTGAGACTGCCCGATTAGTATATACCATTAACCGTGTGAACATGTGATGTATCCTAAATCCAAAATACACAAAATCTTTGTATTTATTACAGGAATATAAACAGTAAATCAGAAGCTCTCTAGCTTTAATGGCGGTCAAACTTGAAAAAGTCAGTATATATATTTAATGTAAATGAGATAAGTTATCGAGAAAAAAATAATATAATCGTACTGCGAATGATATACACGAGTATACATTTATTATTTCAAGTCTTCAGCTTGTATGACTTACAAGATTACAAGATCGCATGGCATGAATATTTGAATCTTGTATCTAAAATATAACAAAAATCGAAATTGTATTAAATATACATGCAACTAAATAAAATATTTGGAGATAAGCGTCAAAGACCTATAATATTTAAGATTTTACAACTGACTTTCGATGTCGTTTTTACGCCCAGATCCCTTAAAGTATATATACTTTTGATCAGGACGACAAGCCGAGTCAATTGAGCCCTGCCGGTTTGTCCGTTTGTCCGTAAATTAATATATCGTACGGCTTAAGAGCTAGGCCTCAAAATTTGATATTTGGTTTTATGTGTGTTTTACAAGTTTGATTTCTTTTAATTTTTAATTCCTTAAATGTAAGTTCAGTTGGTAATAGAACCAATATGTGATGGAATATATATTTCAAAGCTGACGTAGAACAGTTGTTTTTAAACAAATCGCCGTGCGTAGACGTTTTTCCTATATATGTGCACACATACATTCAAATGCGTGTATTCTCTTTTATCCGAAGATTAAAATTGCGATTGTATTGTGCTTTTTTTTTATGTTATGAAGTAGGTAGAGTTAATGCACGCTTTGAGTTGTCAATGTAGTATTTGTATTGTATTTGTATTTGTTTTTTTTTTAATACTCGATACAAACTGTTTCTATTTTTCTATTTCCTAAAACTACGATTTTTTGTGAACTGTTGTTGTGTAAACAAATTGATCTTCTTTAGGAATAAATTAAAAGGCGAAGAAAGCTATCTATTATGGCCTATCTATTATGTTTCAAAAGTTGAATATCTATAGACCCTAAAAACAATAATAAACCCAAACTACCTAATAAATTTCGGTGCAAAGCCCACCTAAATTTTGAAATTTTCTAGTTGAAGTACATAAGTTACTCGGTTGATAAAATTTTAATTCGGAAGTCCCGGATGGGACTAACTTTTATTTTCATGATCTCTGTAAAACGGTCCGATGACCGCTTGCATAGACGGTTTGGAGGTGTAGTGGTATGGAAAGCTATTTCTTATAAATTACAGTTTTTAACTTTGCGTATAATTGTGTATAGTTTCTAGTACAACAATGACCCAAGCTCTACCGAGATCTTCTTGAAATCGTGTGTTTATACCCAAAACGTCGAGGTCCTTCAACAGCTCTTATACTGTCCCCACGTAATATTGATCGGGAATGTGTTGAAATGGGTGGCCAAGAAGGTGTACGATGACAACAATATAATACAAAAAAATTTAATTAAACAAAGCTTAGTTCATGATTTCATTAAATTACACTGCTGTGTTATACATTTCGATTCCCAATCCAATTTTCAAAGTCCTTTCGAAAAAAGGCGAACCGGCACCATACGAATTTGCTTTAACATATCACATTTTAAATATAAGGATAAAATAATTTATTTATTTTGAAAGAAAAAAAAAATATTTTAGCTGATGCCACTATCCTAATGGGGTTTTATACTTTTTCTAAATATAGTTTTTATAATATTTTGTTGAGAGTTATATCAATCATAAAGTTTATATATAAAGTATATATATATATATATATATATATATATATGCCTGTTTATAAGAACCAAAAAATCTAAGAATGTTTAACGTATAATCGTGTGTACAATTTGCAGTACGAGTTTATCATATTTTTGTGATAACTTATCCCATTTTTATATTATCGCTCAAGTCAATCATTGGACTGCGTTTTTAAAGCGTAGCATTAAAACCGTATAGGCTAGACTTTTCAGATTTATATTGTATATTAGTATATTGAATACAACGATCTGTTATATATTTTTTGCATACGCCACAAGTTATCCGTAGACTGGAAGTTTATGTTGGTCATTCAGTTCAGTTTAAAATCCTGAATTTAAAACTGGAAAACATTAATTGGCGTCCAAATACAAATACTTACACAAATCTTAAGACAAGCGAGTCTAATAGGGTGGCTTATTAATTTGGACGTGTCCAAGCGTAACTTCTGTGTAACTTCGCACGATAATCTTCAGGGCAGTGCAGACCGCACTTACAGTTCAGGAGCATGAATGTGAGACGCAGCTCCTAATATATAATATACAATAACAAATCTCAAAAGCCATAATCAAATTCAGAAGTAAATGTAGAGGATCGGCATTGAACTTTGAAGCCTTTTTCTCAAGATTACACTTCATTGTATATTATCCTACAGTACCGTGACGAGGTAGATGCGTAGGTTCTCAGCCCACCCTTCCTATTTGCGAACGACACTCGCATTTGCGCAGGAGGTAAAGGCAAATCACAAAACAACTAGGGAAACACACTTTAGGAAGCAGAACTGCCAGCTTAAGACAGACCAGAATCTAGAACCTATGTAAGTCGACCCAAAGTTTAGATAGCTTATGAGATATCAGAAATTGTATTTAAGCGGTGTAAACACTAAAGAGGGTCATGAAAACAAACAACCTGCATGTTTCGAACGAGCAAGTGGTGAGAGGTAATAAAGCGTTCATCATCTGAAGGCAAATGCTGACGACAGAAGGCAACACTAAGGAAGGTGAATGTCCCTGCTATAGTTCATTCGGTTTTCATTCATTCGGATTTCATTCCTGTCAAGTCCCCTTTCGTCGTGGCAATATTATAAAAATATTTGGGCAATATATTTGGTAATATATTTGGGCAAAATAGTTCAAACGTGAATGCCTTATAAGCCATAGACATAGACAATAAATTTAACTGTCAAACCGTTTAAATGCTTCCATAAAAAAAGCGAGGATCGGTATCCACTAAAAAGAAATTTTTCTCTTGATAGAATTTATTCGACTTGAGTAAAAAAGTTGAATCTGTCATTAAAGAGAGTGCAGTGAAAGCGATTTGATGAAGTCTTTCTCCGTCGAAAATTGTGGTATTGTAAAAATGATGTGGCTGACGTTCTTAACGATATTGACAGGACCAACGACAATGCAAATCGTGACTGCGATGACATCACGGGTGATGGACTACATGTACGGAATCTGTATTCATATTATGACATATTATGACATATTATGACAGAGAGATATCACTATGGGACTAGTACGGATGCACACAGCCTACGAGACAATGAAAATTACATATTTTTTTTACTAACTCATATGGGGAATCCTACAGATACAATTCTCAATAAAAATTCTCAGAACCAAAATAAACAACCTGGCCGACGCAGGTCATCTGTTCGATATCCTCACTACGAGCAATAGAATGTTAAGCGAACTAGGGGCTCTCTTGCCCACTTTAATTTTTGAATCTTAAATCTTGAATCATTCTTTACTGACCAAATAACAGGGATTGCAATTACTGACTTAATGAAGGTGTCAATTATGATACATTTTGTAATTCAATTGTCTATTGACGCCGATTCACTTAACAAATCTACGAGATTGTCATGGACTATGAAGCGACCGAGGGCTGTCGATCTTGAGAGGAGTGGTCAACCAATTTTACAATGTCTACGACTAAAACAATTTTGTCCGCCACAGTGGTAATTTGAGGCCATCTACGTGGCGCAATGCAGTAGGTTATCGGGAGCGCTGACGGTGGGTCCGTGATTTGGAAGATCTTGGAACGGCCGAAGTCGCTCTGCGTTATATTATAATTAAATTAAACAACGCGCGAGTATTGACCGCAGAATAAGCATAATAATTGAGTATCAATTTTATTAGTTATATAGTATGTGCCATAAAATATTCAACAGCGTAACCTTTTTATTATTTATATACGTAATATTTTAGACATTTTAGCGCGTAAATAAATGTGGGTACATGTATGTTGATATACAATGCATTAAGTTATTTAGTTATTAAGTTATTAATGTATTGAAACTATTGATTAGATATTCAGAGTAGAATGTTTTTTAAATGTTAAATGATATCATAGTCAATCACAGTTCCTGAGTCCTTGTTGTGTATTAACAGGCCGATCTTGGATTCTAAAAAGCTACATACTAGCATTTGTTAAGCAACGGCTAACTTATTATATATTGCTATTTAAATATATTTTTCTTGCAGTTTATGATGTGATGAAAAATAATAAAAATATATTTTGTTTTTTTAGAACTCAAACAGTTTGGAACTGAAATTGGATGCAATTTTGAAGTCTTCATCTGAAGCAATAGCTGCGAAGGCACTGACTGAGTTAAGCAAATCTTCAAAAACGAGATTCAGTCAACGGCAAGCCAATTATGATGATGATTTGAAGTCTAGTAAGGAAAAGGGTCTAATTGAAAACAAAATTAAAGACATTCGAGAGCCTATAATATATTCAAACCTGTTCGAAAATCCACAGCAATCTGTTGACAAAATCGAATGTGATTCACTAGTTCAAAGTGTTACACAAAATTCCAAAGAAGCGGATGCTTTTTTTGAAGTAGATACAAATGTGGAATTACAAAAGAAAGTTTCAGATGTTGAACAATACAACAATTTGAAGCAGCAATTAGAGACTGCGGCAGTGCTTATGACCATAAGTAAAAAAATTGTTATATCACCTCCATGCTCGAATCCTCAATCTCCTTGTCTTTCTGCGGTTGTAGATAAAAGTATTAAAAGTTCTGTGATAAAATCAAAACGTCCATCTATTAATAATGATGTACAAGATGGTGTTGAAATAGACTTATCCGTTAAAAAACTGAAAATTGAACGAGGCAGTCAACTGAATTTAGTCCCAACAACAAGTAACTTTTGCCTTCCTCATGTACTTGATGCGGAAACAAATCCATTAAGGACCGACGAGGGCTTTAAGAAGAATAGCATTACACTTAATGAAGTTGCACCGCCTAACTACCAATTGAATACAACAAATCTACAAACCGAAAGTACTGCTACATGTCTATCGGTATCTGAAGACAGCTCTGATTCTAATAAGTTAGAAATGGACATTGCGTATACTATGTATGACAGAAAGACACCGGAGAGTGTAAGTTCGGATCATGCTACAGATGCTGCTACAACTCAACTTTGGCAAGCGTTAGCTCGGTCGGCTGGTAAGTTTGAATCAATTAAAATATCAAGTATATCTTACTGAATAAATAACCTAAAAATATGAAGAAACGTATAGTCGCTGGTGCCTTACCCTGAACACCGACTGATATGCGTTTTTAAAAAATCCCCGTATCATTGGAACTTACACCAACGCAATAAAATATCATGTTTAAAACAAAATCCTGATGTCTCCAATACTGTGACTTCTTTGCTGAAATTAGCAGTAGCACATTTAAACTGAAGTAACAACGCTCACTTCAAACATAATTGAATCGCATTCCCAGTTCTTCGAACAAAAAAATGTATGCCGAATGGTCAAACGTTTTATTTAATAGGGTTTTTACTATTTAACGGATATATATTAAAATTTCACGACATAATCTAAGTAATTTATTGAATAATCTCATATTGCCTAAATTTGCAACTGAAGTGTAATTAAAAGAATTTAGTGTGAATGCATATAACTGTGGTGGTGTTCAGTTGTGTAATAATCTTTATTCGTCTAAGCAAGAGTTCTTATACCCTGGCTAATGCGTATTTCGTCTCTTAACCTAAGTACATTATGTAATGAGTGGAGCTTCAAGCGGGGAACATACTATGCTGGCATAGACCTTAGGCAAAGTGCGTACGCGGCATCTCCCACGCTGCTGGTCAGACCACACTTAAGTGGCTGATCATATTCCCATTGTTTATCTTAGCGCTCGCTCTATGTTTATGAGTAGGGACAAATGTCACTATATGCGTATTTAGTATACACTATCATATGTTATGCATATGACGCATTTATATGTAGAATACTCTACATTGCTTCGGGTATTATGAATACTTTATTAAATATACTACAGTATGTTCATGCCTGAACATTCTGCAGGGGGCCAGAAAATGCGACAGCTAGCAATTGCTGCCTCTGGTTTCTCTTCTTAATCCGTGGCCTGCGTCTCCGTCTGTATAGCAACCCAATTTTTCGATGCTTCCCAGAGCTCTCTGGGACGTCCAGGCACATCGTTGTTGATGCGCTGATTACCTTGTTGGTTGATAATCCAGATATATTGCCAGAGACAATCCACCCAAGTTCGGTCTTTTGTCCCAGGGTTTCGTTGATTTTCTTTACTTTTCCCAACATTATTAAGGGAAGTAAATCAACGCCAATGACAACGTCAATTCGACTGGGCTCGTTAAAATGTGGGTCTTTTAGCGCGCAGCCATTCCAATCCTTATTGACATCCATGTCAATTTTCTTGGTCGGAAGAGCTCTCTGAAGTTTTGGCATAACAAGTGCCTACGTAGTGGTGATGAATTTGCTTTTAAATCGGGGTTTGATTGTTAAGCAAACACTATTTTTAAGGATTTCTATATTTTGCGAAATTCCTTGAACTTCCACGTTCCGTTTAGTTCGGCGCAGTTTTAACTGTTGTGCAGCTTCTTCAGATATTAGGGTTTTTTGCAAGCCTCCATCTATAAGGGCTCTTAGCTGCTCGTATTTTCCAGACTTATTTTTAATCTGGATGAGCGCTGTCGCCAGCAACGTATCTTGTCCTTTATTTTCATTTAGACAGTTGCTGCTGACGGTCTCTTTATTATTTGCATCTTCGTGAAGCAAATAGTTGTTCGCTTTAGTGCATTGATTGCAAGTCCAATTCTTTTTGCAATCTTTAATGCTGTGGCTGCCTAGACATTTGTAGCAAAGCGAGTTTTTGAATACAAACTCCTTGCGTTTTTTAACCGGCTCTGCTCTAAATTCCTGACACCTGGTTATTTCATGTCCCGTCAATTGGCAAAAACGGCATCTCTCGTGGCTCGTTGTCTTTGCTTCCCTTGACGTACGGGCGGCGCTTTTTTGCACTGAGTCTATTGAGTTATACAGTTGCTCAATAAACTCTAGTACATCGTCCAAGAACTGAATTTCTCTGGCCTTTTTTACGTGTTGCTCGTAAAGTTGTAGGACTTCCGTAGAGAATCGTCGCAACAGAATTTGAGCGATTAGAACGTCAGCTTCACTACCAAATTGACCCTTTTCTTTGATAATGAAAATGCATTCTGTTGCTTTGTCCAAGAACTTGAGGATACTGCCTTCATCATTGTTCTTCAGCAGTTCCATGTCCACTAGCTGGTTGACGGCGTTAGCAAATATTTTGCGTGTATTTTCGTAGCGCTTGCATATTAGTTCCCAAGCCGAGTTGTAGTTAGCAGACGAGCCAATTAATAAATGGCCTACGACCATTTGGGCTTCTCCCTTAAGGCATGACTTCAAGTAATTCAGCTTCCTTGTGTCGCTGATATCTCTCCTGTTGTGAATCACCTCAGAGAATAACTCGAAGAACGTCGGCCACTCTTTGGGACTTCCATTGAAGTGAGGAAGATCCATTTTCGGTAGATCTGGAACGTCTTCTTATGTATTTTGCAAGCCAGCTACTCTTCTGTTTAGTTTTTTTGTGAGTATGCTGACATTGCATTCCAGCTCATCGATCTCATCGATGTCAAAGGCAAAATTTTCGTATTTTGCCTCTAAATCCGTGAGCGTTGACTGGACTTTGTTCCACAGGAAAATCAACTTGTCTATATAGTCAAGGATTTCTTCCTGGCTGCTGAGCTCTAGATTGGCATACACTTCTTGCATGTGTTGCCTTACTTAAGGTCAACCAGCACATCCATTGGGCTCGAGCTTCTTTGAGAAAATATTTCCTGCTGCCTGTGTTGTGCCTTGGATGTCTTTGGTTGGATGGATGCTGTTTCATCGGTGTCTATGGCGTGGTCGGCAACTTCGACTTTCATCAGAGACTCCTCGTAGTTCCTGATGTTTTCCATTATGCCATCATATATTTTTTCCTTAAAATATTGATGATCGATGACACCGATTTTGACCAGTATTAGATGATTGGCAGTAAACTCTGCTGCCAATCTATCAATGGCTGGTAACGCATCCTTGTGATGCTCTGCCGGATCTTGTCATAGATCTCTGATTGCTTTTTGAGTAACTCCAGAGTTTTTGCCGACAGCATTTTGATTGTTTTTTTTTTTTTTTTTTTTTTTTTTTTTTTTTTTTTTTTTTTGTGAAAATTTGAACTTAATTTACCCTTTGGCTTGACCCGTTGGAGGTGTTTTTGTTTTGATCGCCTGATTGATCGTGCTGTGCCTCTACTCACAGCTTGAATTGGTAAGCCAAAAAAGTATTTAAACAATTTTTCACTTCACTTTCACACTTGTCACAAACGTGGCCTTGTAGATTTTACTCGAAGGACCAAAAAATGTGTGTACACATCACAAACGTAGCCTTGTGGATCCGGCTCGAAGGACCAAATAATGTGATTACAAATAACTGTGGTGGTGTTCAGTTGTGTAATAATCTTTATTCGTCTGAGCAAGAGTTCTTATACCCTGGCTCATGCGTATTTCATCTCTTAACCTAAGTACATTATGTAATGAGTGGAGCTCCAAGCGGGGAATATACTATGCTCTCCGCTATGTAGCTTCATATATATAGCTGGTATATACTTATATGCATATGGCATAAACATTAGGCAAGTGGCATAGACCACACTTAAGTGGCTGATCATATTCCCATTGTTTATCTTAGCGCTCGCTCTATGTTTATGAGTAGGGACAAATGTCACTATATGCGTATTTAGTATTTATATGTAGAATACTCTACATTGCTTCGGGTATTATGAATACGTTATTAAATATACTACAGTATGTTCATGCCTGAACATTTAGTCAATTTGAAGTTGGCATCTAAAATATAATGAAAACCAAATTGTATGTACAACTATTCTATATACTCTAGTTTCAAACACATACGTTATTAAGTTTAATAATTGAATTTCGATAACGTTCTTAATCGATAAAAATCAAACAGGAATATTAAAAACAAGCTGAACACGTGGCTATATAGCGCTTAAAAATGCTGGTGAGGACGCAGACATACATAGGGACAGGTTAACAGGGCTAAATCGACTCAGTTCATCCTGATCAAGAACATATACTTTATAAAGTCTGGTCTGACACGCTATTTCTCTCTTTTACATGCGAATGCTCAAATGTGCAATAATAAGGAAGAAAAAAACAGTTTCAAATTATAATTTTAATTTTTTTTGACAAAAACAAAATCTGTGTTCAATTCAGTTAAATGCATTTAATTATTTTCCTATGACTTATTATCATCCCATTTTTCAATTGTTTTCAGTGTAGACTAAAATATAATAGAAGGACACCTCTTTGTCGTTCAGTAAAATATGTAATTGAATCTGATAAAGAATTCTCTAGCTAGAATTTTCAAAACGTATTAAAATAGAAGACCAGAAAAATTTGTTATGTTGTAACAATTGTTATATAATTATTATATATATAATTATATATTATATATATGTAATAGAATGATTAAATGACGTTAAAAGTGTTTGTCCGTCCGTCTGTCCGTATGTGTGAACGCGTCGATCTCAGCATCTATAAGAGCTAGAGACTTGACATTTTTTGTAGTTCCGTGAATAGCACGCGTGTATATATTGGATAAGTATTTACATTTCATTGTTACCAAATGGATTTTGGATACCTGTCCTAAATACTAAAAATTTAAGTTCAGTTGGAAATAGGGCCATTATGTGAAAGCCTTTCAATCATATGCTGAAAATTTCATTTAAATCCAATAAGTAAAACAGCAGGGCCGCACACGTATTTTTACTATACTTGTGCACACATGCATTCAAATGTGTGTATTCTTCTCTATTCGAAAAATCGAAATTGCGATTTAATCAGCTGCTACTTAAGTTCAAATTTGCAACTCCTTGTTAGAAGCAATGCTTGTAAGCAGTGATCCCTGCGTTCGAGCCTGGTGGCGATGGAACATTTTTTATTGTTTTATTTTTAAATTATGAAGTGGCGGTTTTGGTAGAGTTGATGCGCGTTGCATAGAAATTGTGGGTTTGATTCCTGCGGTCGTAATGTCGATTTCTATTTGTTTGTTTTAATATTCGATACAAACTACGGAAAATCTTAAAAAACGCAGATAGGACTGGGATCAGGGTATCTCCTAGTCGGGCACCCCGACTAGAACTAGTTTTAAAGCGAAATGATAAAGATTTCATTATATGTCCTTGTCGGGTACCCTCGAATAACATTTTTTTTTATTTATTTATACCATCAAATTTTAAGTGAGGGCTTATAGATCTAACATGAAAGAATGGTCCATTTGTTTTGTTGTCTGTTTTGCTCTGTCCGTAAGAAAGCAAACTATTTCGCCGCTATTGAAACTAGATACTAGGGAAAAATAAAGTATATATATGTTATATATATTTCTACGGGAAACTCTAAATTTTACCATTTAGTTAATGTTGATCTTCTGTATTGATTATTTAAAAATGATATATACAGTAGGGAGCAAAAGTGTTTCCATAGTTGACACTTTCAACTTTGTGAGTCGATAATTTCTAAACGAATGAAGCAAATCAAAAAAACTTTTTTTCCAATAATATGTATTTAATTCTTAACAAATTGCCGTATATAACAAAAACAAAAGTTAATCAGTAAAATATTCAAACAAAGAAAACTGAAACAAAACGCATGTGTACAATTTTGCACCTACAGATATTTTTACTTTGATTTGATTTCTTAATTCTCTTATCGGCAATAGACATGCAGTTTTACCCTTATATGTTTTATGTATGCATTCTACACTTTTATGATCCAGAAATCCACGTGTTTCTTATTATTTGAAGTAGATTTGTTAATTTTAGCAATTAGTCTACAAAGTACCACGAAAAAATGAAGAAGCTTTCGTCAGATGTCGAAAATAGTATTATTAGCCTAACTGAAAGTGGCTGTTCGACTCGTAGTACTTCAGATCAGCTTAATATTTTTCATTCAGCGTTGTCCGAAGTCCAGAAAAGACGCAATGGTACATCCAAAAACACTATTAAAGGCCGCAAACGACTCTTAAAGGACTCTGACGCCAGACTTATGGGAACTGATAAGTTCCTAACACCGAAGAAGGCATCTATGGACATAGGGAAAGACGTGAGTCGGCGGGTGGCTAGAAGAGCACTAGCTAAGGTTGGATATGTGGCAAGTGTGAAACAAAATAAACCAGCTCTATCCGAGAAGAATGACAAGGGTCGATTGAAATTCGCCCGGGAACACAAGAACTGGACTGTAGATGATTGGAAACGTTTTATCTGGTCGGATGAATCCAAGTTCAACCGTTTTCAATCAAATGGCACGCAATACTATTGGCACAGGTCCGGGGAAAAGCTTCAAAAACACCATGTGAAGCAAACCGTTTAGCATGGAGGAGGCAATGTCAAAGTTTGGGGATGCTTTACTTGGTGGCACATTGGACCATTGCATAAAATTGATGGTATAATGTTAAAAGAAGACCATCTCAATATTTTGAAAACCTGTCTACCCAATTTTCTGGACAAGTGTGCATACCCCGTAAAGGAAATCATTTTTCATCAAGATGGGGATCCGACGCACACTGCCAAAACTGTCCGCGAATGGTTACAAAACCAAGATTTTATGCTGATGGAGTGGCCAGCTAAAAGTCCCGAACTCAATCCGATTGAGAACCTGTGGTCAATCGTGAAGCGACGGCTCGGGCAATATCAATCAATGCCATCCAACCTAGACGATCTTTGGAAGCGTGTAGAACTGAAGTGGAACCGAGTTCCAAAGGAAACCATAGAAAAGTTGGTCGAGAGTATGCCAAACTGAATAAAAAATGTAATAGCTAATAAGGGCCAGTGGACAAAATATTGATTTAGAATCATATTTAATTTTTTTCACTGAAGGTGCAAAATTGTACACATGCGTTTTGTTTCAGTTTTCTTTGTTTAAATATTTAGCTGATTAAGTTTTGTTTTTGTTATATACGGCAATTTGTTAAGAATTAAATACATATTATTGGAAAAAAAAGTTTTTTTGATTTGCTTTATTCAACTATGGAAACACTTTTGCTCCCTACTGTATATATATCTCGAGAGTTTCATATTATGTAGTAGTTTTCTACTGCATTCATACCTACTTGTATTTGATAACTTTCTGAATACCACAAAAGCTACATATTTCAAATGATGATGTGATACATGTATAGACTAACATAACACTGCTCGTCATCGAGTTAGAGCCCCCTTTTACTCAGTTGTTTTTTCTCATTTATATTTTCTTATTGCACCAAAGATTAACTTTTGTTTTGCTATTTGCAAAGCAGAACCCAAATTTCGGCCAAGTTGATATGACTTAAAAAATTTAAATTGGAGGGACCGAATGGACTTCACTTTTATTTTAATGATATTCGTAAAGAAGAGCATCATTGTACAATGCCACCTGAACATTTTAGTTTTTAACTTTGCGTATAAATGCGAAGAATTGTAAAGACGTAGTAAAAAGGATTTTATGCACGTCGAAGAGTTATTTGAGACATTGAGCATGCATTTCACACCATAGCAATGTCCCAATATCAAAATGTAGAGTTCATTCAATGGCCCTAATCCTGCCCCGACCTAAGTATCAATGCGTATGTCTAGGATTGGTTGACTAATGAATGATTCTATTCCCAATACGCTTTTGAAAATCATTTAGAACAAAGGCGACACCGTGCACTGATTTGCTTTAAAATATCTCATATTTGAAATAAAAGCATGAAACCGTTTTTTCTTTTTTTTTTATTTAGGCATCATCAAAAATTATAAAATCTTTATAAAAATGACTTATTTAATATTAAGTTGAAAGTTAAAAAAGCAAATTTTATTTTATTTTAAGAAGTCTATTTACACGGAATAATATTGTAAAACTATCAGTTGAGTGGTTTAGATAATACTTAACATAGGTATATAAAGAGGGCGCTAACCTGATGAAGATCAGTTTTTATTATTATTACCACACTATTGCTAAAAAATGATTCGGCAAATATACACATGTCAATTTGATTAGGAAAGTTAGAAAAAAAGTTATTCTACAATACATTTAAGGAAGTAAAGCCCATATGTGCTGCCCAAGTATGGGTATGTATATTTTTATTTGAGAATTTCTGATAATCTATATTAATAAAAATATAATTGCTGACGAAAGCGTTATCAGCTTGACGTAAAATTCATTACGCTCTAATAATCTAATGTCTTTATATTTAATAAATATATATCTATTATATGTTATTTAATCCATTAATAATTTTGTTTAGCTAAAAATAAAGATGAAAGTCGCGCAACCCAACTCCTACGTGATATGATGACCCAAACTTTTGTATTTCCTGTGCCGTCAACTGTAGCGTTGACAAAAGTACCTGAAGAACCATTACCGCTTTTAAAGGTAATAATATTGTAAAAATTAAAAGTAAATATAATATAATCACATTTTAATTAACAGGATATACCAGACTCCCAATCGAATGTTGTTAAAATATGTAGAAGAAAGCAAAGTTTTCCTACTAAATCAGATTGTATGGAGTCCCCAGAAATTAAAGTATCTGACACTTACCTCCAATCAGAAAGTGCACCCAATGTGGAAGGATTAAAAGACAAAAAGGTATCTTCGAAATATATACAAAATAAAATATATAAATTAACTATACAAATTTTAAATTAACAAATTTTTAGAGCCAAAAATGCAGCAGCACTACATCTTTATCTACTTCTCAAAAGGATATGTCTTGTTCTAATTGTGGTACTTTGACAACAACAATTTGGAGACGTAGTGTTAGAGGGGAAATGGTTTGTAATGCTTGTGGATTATATTTCAAGCTTCATGGCGTCAATAGACCACATTCTATGAGACGTGACACTATTCATACACGGCGCAGGCGTCCAAAAGAGTGCGAAAAATCTAAAAAAAGTAAGCATTTTCTTATAGGTTAAAACCTAAATAATCGCATATGTATTAAAAAACCCAATGAACTACAATTGTATACATGGCAATTTCACTACAATACTGACAAGTCTGGTGTTACTGTAAAATCAAAAAACTTGATATTCACAAAAAAATACAAAAACAATGATACATCTAATTTGAACAAAAATAAACTGTATGTTCTTTAGAAAAATCATAGTCTTACACTTATCAACATCAATGTTTCATTCTTAATAGTTATATTAAGACCCTGAGCCCATATAAAGGGAGACAGTATTTAGTAAACTAATTATAATCTATTTATTTCAAATCGACACACATTTTTATATTTGTACATGCTGATCATTTTTGTTGTGTGCATCAGTGCATCAGATTTCCTTATTATCGATCAAAATCGATATGATTTGTTCTAAATATTTGATTAGGATTGTTTATTTAGTAAAAAAGTGATTAAACAAATAAGTTTCCATAGTGTAGCCCATAATGCCAATGTTGTTTGATATGAATATAAGAAACAAGCGTATAATCATTTAAGTATCAGTTCTTCGCAGGGTTCAGTAAATATCCTAGTCGCGAAAATTTCACTGCAACACTCTTGTATAAGATTAAGTGATATGAACAATTTTTTATCTATTCTGGTAACTGCATATCTCATGCCAAAAAATTATACAATTTTGTTAGTTATATAAATATATTCATATAACATCCTACTCTTAATGTTTGCAATGGAAGCTTTAGAGTTGGGCGTTATACTCATACAAGAAGTGATGGAATTACTATATAAAGTATGTAAGAAAAGCTATTAGCTAAACTGCTAAAGACTTGAAATGTGTACTATCAAAAATCTGCAGTGGATATATCTAAGTTCATTGTGTTCATGTGGAAAATCGGGGAAAACTGTATCTCACACAGTTTTAGAGATAAACCCCCATTTTGCATGTTAGTTAGATTTTCTACTGACCCACGAGAAAATTATTTGTCGGCGCCCATTTGGGGCGTGGCAAATCAGATCTGACTAGTGTTATATTTTGAACATTATTAGTGCTAAGAACTGAATATTAGGAATATACACCCGCCTTGCCAACCCGCGCCTAATAAACCTCGAATATTACGTTACTGTTCACTCCTCTATGGCTCCACCAAAAAAATGTTTGCACTTTTGGCATTTATGTTACTCTATACTGCTAATATGAATTGGCCAAAACTTATATGTCCAGTCCATTTCAGGACTGTTTGTCCTACAGTTTAAGTTTCTGTTGAGGACTCCTATAAATTATATATATTATATATATACCTGATGAGGGCGTGCAAAATCGAAAAAAAAAAAAATACATATTTCAAAATTTTTGAGCCATTTTTCCAAATATTTTTTCACCGTTAATTAGTACTGTGCAATCAACATTCTTGAATTTTTCATTTTTATAGTTTTTCTTTGGTATGCCTTTATTTTCTGCTAATAATACATATACACTATCAAATTAGTTATGTTTAGTTAAATAGCAGTGACTAACAATTTCAGCTCAATTTATTTAAAGTTTGAAATATTAATTAATAAAAATAATTAATACTTTTTTTAATGACGAATAGGAAATAGGTCAATACCAATCAATACAATAGTTGAATATGAAACTGATATTATTAACGGTCCCCTAGAATGCAAGAAATTGGATATGTCACGGGCTCCGGAGACGCCTACATTTTCTGATTTCGTATATAAGGTGAGTACATTTTTTAAATTTTCTATTCTTTAATTGAATATTTACAGATTAGTTGCTTTGACCAGATACATATTATATATATATGTGTTAGATGCGTCAAAATTAATACGTTCGCTAATATATATATACATAACATAGCCTACCACAACAAAAAACACCACAAACAAATTTCAATTGTTAACTAGTATGTTTTGTTTGTACAAAAACGTTTTTATAATATGTGAATTTCTATTTATTTATACTTTAATATCAATATTACTTAATTATAAATATTCATATTGGTACTAATCTTAAATATATACACACATTCTTAGCGCACTTGCCGATACTATTAAAGAGCACTACTCTTGCATTATACTTTTCTTCAGTGTCAAGTGTTGTTATAGTCCTAGATTAAATTATACATAACGCGCATAAGATTCATTGGCTTTATGTCAAAAGCAACCCATTTTGAAATTAGAACACTTCTGTTCACTTCTGATATAGGAATGTCTTAAGTTGTTTGCAAATGTAACTATGCTAAATTTGTGAAAATGTGGTTCCGATATTCATTTAAAGCTTAAAATTTAAAAGCACAAATGCATAAATTAACTTATCAGATAAACAGTATATAAACAATATACTAAAATCAAAGCTTTTAATCTGAAAGTAATTATTAATCACATTGAGTAAATGTAAAATGATGTTATTCACTTTATGACATTTAGTCGACTGCACGTGTCATATCTATATGGCGTAGTAATAAATCATGATTCTGAAATAATATTATTGTTGTCTTAACAGTTTTTGAAATTATATTCCCAATAGTGACCAGAGTTGATGTATTAATATTAAACCCTTTCTTTATGAAATGAAATAATTTTTATGGATGTTTTTAACTTAAGCATGATGTATGAATTTATACGGTAAAGAGGGTGGAGTAACAAAAAATTCGATTCTAATTTAAATGTTACAAATAATAAATAAACTAATAATAAATGCTATTGGCGCAATTTTTAACAACTGCTACAAATGCAACTAAAGCGAAAATAGTTTATATAAAATAATTGTTGCTTAATAAATAGAAATGGGGCCGTTAAATTTTTAACTCAAACTATAAAGCAGAATATAGAGGGTTCACACAAAAGGTGTGGGAATATAATTTTTGGGTAATCAAATCAAATAATAAAGATTTTAGTTTTGAAATTTCTGGGATTAGAGCTTAAGGGTGTATCACGCTCTTATGGAAGTATGTATATAATCGGTATAGTGTAAAATGCGAGTTGTACTCACAAGTATATATTCCAAATTGCTAGTCTTTAGCCAATGAAGATACCGTTTTATCCGATTTGCCGTACCTCCATATTGTTGATATATTCACTATATTTATACCCTGATCAGGGTATAATGGTTTTGTGCAAATGTATGTAAAAGGTAGAAGGAGGCGAGGCAGACTCCAAAAAGTATATATATTGTTGATCAGTACGACAAGCCGAATTGATTGATCCCTGGCCGTCTGTCTGTCTAGCTGTCCATCTGACCGTATGTGTGAACGTGTCTCAGCATCAATAAGAGCTAGAGACTTGAGACTTTGGAGGTCCTTGTATAGCACCCGCATTCTCTTTCCGTTTTATTGTTATTTATTACAAACCTGATCGAAATGCATTCATTAAATTATATCTCGTACGGCTTAAGAGCTAGAACCTTCTTCTACTTCTTGCGCAGCGCAGTGGCGGAATATGATTTGAGTTGAGCGTATTTTACTATTAACAGACATGGAAACTAATATTAAATAATTTATCCTTTTTTTATGCATTTTCAGAAATACAAACCGGAAATATCTGAGACAGCCGAAGCGACAGAAACGTTTAAAAATGATATTTTAAAACGAACAAAATCGCAATCTTTGCCTGATTTCAATGAAACCCATGCAGGCGAGGAACTATCTGTACCTCTTAATCTTGTTTCCAGTGAAAACAATGCAAAGTTAGCATATAACGCCAAATAAAATTCAAGAAATCAAGCCATCACGCGCACAGAAGTTTATAAATGAGCTCCTTAAATCATTAAATCCGTATATATATTTATATACATATATTCTTATATATATATATATATATATATATATATATATATATATATATATATATATATATATATATATATATATATATATATATATATATATATATATATATATATATATATATATATATATATATATATATATATATATATATAAATACATTCACACTTAATTGTATTTTTAAAAAATAATACCAAATTGCTAAAAAACGGTTCAAAGTTTTAATTTAACGGTGTGAATTATTTTGTATTAAGCACGGACAGAATTACTTAATTTTGTTTATATATAAAGTAACATGTAAGCAATTAAAGATATATTTCTACTAATACATGATTCAGTATTTTTAAAATTTAATGTCTCTTCTAAGTAGTTTGACATTATAAAACACAGATATATACAATTATATCACAAACCAAATGCACTAACGTTTCCGCTTGAGTTCGTGAAATAAATGCAATCAAACATGAGGTACCCTTATTTATTGCTCTGACATTTAGCATTTTATCATTGTTTATCATTATATATTTCATTCGTTCTTTATAGAATATATCATTTTTACTGTTTAATTTCTTTTTGTGTTAAAATAAATAGTCATTACCTTCAAATTTTCTTAAGATGCTACTTAATACATAAATACAAGTAAAATGTTGATAACATAAATTCAGGCAGACAGTTTATTTAGTGTAATACTTTAAAACAAAATTGGGTATCTCTAAATATTTTTAAACATATTAAAAAACTACTTTTGGTGTTGCAGAATTTATGAATAGTTTATACTCATTGTCAGAATTTTAGCTAAATTCTTTAAAATAAAATTCAAATGCAAAATTTTCGATAATTGAAATGTTTTGTTTGGTAATCCAAAATATTATAATTTTGTAACAATACAATACTATTGGCAATAGGGGCTGTCGAATTCAGTAATAACCGTGATTAATAATATTAGGTATTAATCGTTGGTAAAAACGTTCGAATAAAATCAATCTTTTTGATATTCTGAGTATTTATACATTTTAAATCTTAAAACTCATAGGACAGCATTTTGATAAGTAATTTATGAATAGTATATTTAGTATATATTTCAAAATATTTGGCAATATATATGTTTTGATCCATACATTGTTTTAAAGAGCTTGTTTATTCAGCACAATTCTATAGTTAGAAAACATTTGTAAAATCTCTTGCCTGTAAATGAAAATCATGTGATAATAAAATAATCTCCACAATTTTTAAATAGTTAAACTATGCAATTCAAAGCAATATTCATAATACCATGCAAGAATTTCAAGCATCAATTGAACAAATATTTATATTTCAAATAAGAAGTTCTTAAAACTAAAAAACTAATACAGTTTTTTCGATCTTAATAAAATATGTAAAGTTTAAAATATTTAAGCTAAGAAAAAGTTATACCTTTATTTTTTCGAATTTAATAACTGCAAAATCTTCTAACAGCTATAATAAAAAATTCAAATCAAACTAGATTCGGTCTTTAAATTTTCTGAATTATATCTCTCGGAATACTTTAAAAATGGACTTTTAGTTACACAAATGTATTCATCAAGGTAAAGTTTCACAGATTTTAAAAATGTTATGCTTTTTTTTCTAGGAAATATTAATGTTAACCACAAACAGTAGTTTGTATTTGTTCCAGTTTTCCAACATATATTTAAGATTTTTATGATCATATTTTAAAAAATTTTCCATATTTTTATGCTCATTTCCAAAGTGAAAAAATATGTACGTTGTGCGCAATGTCCGCCTTGCAACAGTTTTATAGCGCACGGCGGTCCTGCATCGTCATCCTTCTGATGAAAATGCAAAATAATGGCGAAGGTTACGAGATCCTTGTGCCAGACAATATTTTGGCGCACATCGAATGTGACAAACAGCTACCAACTCGAAGAAGATCCAGTCCTCTATCAACCGCGATATCAAGAGAATAGTGGTGGAAAACACATTTTTGGATACAACTGAGCTCTTTGAACAAGACGACATAATAAGTACGATCTGAACTTGTGAACGAAACTATGTACTTAAATGAAAATTAAATATCACTATGCTCAGCTGAAAATAACATCTGATGACTCATTTCCCGTCAACAAATGAGGATTTTAAAGAACTGAATCTGATAGGTAGGAAGTTAGATCTTCTTTTCTAGCAATTAGATCACCAAATAATTCAGGGATTAAATATTGGAACTTGCATTCTCGGTAGTCCAGGACAATTATCTACCTTCTCTTGGATTTTTGGTTGAATTGCAGTAATTGTTTTTTGTTTCTAAAGTGTTGATGGTATTCTGAACGTCAAATTCTACTTTATTTACTTCTTCGTCAAACATTTTGTTTGAAATATATGTGCTTTTTAGCTCCTAAACTATTTTCGAAATTCTGTTCAATAAGAATATTAGTTTATATTTTTGTCGAAAAATTCTAAATTTGCTTTGGCAATGTCCTAATATCCTCTTAGCTGTTTAACCTTGTCTTCGAATTCTGCTTTTTTTTTATTTTTCATAAAACGTTACTGTTCTAATATGCTCTAACTCTTCTATTATTTCTTTTTTTCACCATTTATTTCTTATTCTATATTTTTTATGAGTTTCACCGCTTATCAAATTCTTTATTGTAAAAGTATGTATGGGCTATTAGTCCAACTTTTAACAATAAGGTATGATAACTCTCTAATTACTCTCCTACTTCTAATTCTTTCAATATGGATACTAAGTCTCATTGAACTAGAGAGTTGAAATTTTTGTAAGATTTTTCAAATTTTGTATTTAAATTTATATATATTTTATGCAATAGATACATGTTCCAAATTTCCACAAATTCTTAAGATTTAAGTTCATTTGGAAATAGGGCCACAATGTGGAGGCGTTTGCATCTCAACCAAGCCAATAGAATATGATCATATGCTGAAAATTTTAGTAAAATCTATTAAGTAAAACAGAAGTTATTCAAAAAACGTTTGGCCAATTTGCAAAAGCACATGCCAAGCATGTTTAAAGTTTGAGCCTGGCGGCGAATGAACATTTTTTATTTTTTAATTATTTAGTGGCGGTGTTAGTAGAGCTGATGCGCGTTGCGTAGAAATCGTGGGTTCGAATCTGGATGTTGCAATGTCGATTTTTATTTGATTTATTTTTTTAATACTCGATAAAAACTATGTTCTGTAGTTTGGTAAACTCCCGTTTTAGCGAGCTACAGCATCTATAAGAGCTAGTTTTTTTTGTAGGTCCGTGTGTAGCACGCGAGTTACCTTATCAGTCACACCACCAGCAAAACAACTAAGGCCAAATAAAACATAGACGGGACGACATGTATAAGAATATACCTGCATACGTAGTTACATACATATATACACGTATACACATAAAAAATATACATACATATATGCGTACATACAGTTTGACACGAAAGTGTTTTCACATGGGAAAAAATTATATTTTTGTTCTTTAACATAAAAAAAATATACTAAGTGTGAGATTTCAATATTTTTTTAAATTATATTATGTTTTTTCAAATTATTGTCTTACAAAAATAATTAATAAAAATTAAAAAACTATTAACAAAGGCATAAAAAACAATAACAACTAAAAACATATTCAAATTCAAGTGACACGAAAGTGTTTGCACACATGCACAGCTGTGGCTGATGCTATGTTCTTAAGAATTTCGTCATACTTTTTAAGAATCGATACACATTCATTACGTTCACATTCAATAGCAGAAATGTTTATAATATCGAAGAGGACCGTTTACAATATTTTAAGCCGGGCAGAGAACGATGAAACACTGGAGCCAAAGCGTTCTTCTGGACGACCTCGGGCGTTAACAGATAAAGTTAATGAAACCCCAACAATTTCGACCAGAACGCTTGCCAGGGAGCTGCAGGAAGAGTGTCGTATTGACATATCCCGCGAAAGTGTCCACCGAACCCTAAAAAGGAACGAGTTTGCATCCCGAGTTGCGTGGAAAAAAACCATTATTGTTGTCTAATCATGAAATCACATTCGCCAGGATGCATGTGGGACATGTGGAATCTTATTGGGATGAAACCATATTTTGCGACGAGACTAAGATGATGTTGTACTACAACGATGGACCCAGCCGTGTGTGGCGAAAGCCGTTGAAAGCCTTGAACGGAAAAATATAATTCCTACTGTAAAGTTCGGAAAACTTTCAGTGATGGTCTGGGGGTGTATTTCTAGTAAAGGAGTTGGAGAACTATGTTTTATAGAAAATACAATGGATGCCAAACAGTATTTGGAGATTTTGCGTACGCATCTAGTGTCCAGTGCCCGAAAGTTTGCATTTTTTAGGGATGGTAAACCAACATTCAGATTTTACCAAGACAATGATCCCAAACATAAAGCCAAAACAGTCAGGTGTTGGCTTCTTTACAATTGTGCAAAGGTGTTGGATATTCCTGCACAAAGCCCCGACCATAATCCCATAGAGAATCTGTGGGCTGATCTTAAAAAAAGGACAGCCAAGCGAGGTCCAATAAATAAAAGGGATTTTAAGTCTTATATATTGGAGGAATGGGAGAAGACACCAGTGGAATATGTTCAAAACGTAATATATTCCATGAATAGACGGTTGGAAGCGGTCATTGAAAATACTAATTTGAATAGTTAATTAAGTTAATATTGCCTTTTTTTTGAAAAGTATTTCTGTGAAAGCACTTTCGTGACACTTGAATTTGAATACGTTTTTAGTTGCTGTTGTTTTTTTATGCCTTTGTTAATAGTTTTTTAATTTTTAATAATTATTTTTGTAAGACAATAATTTGAAAAAACATAATATAATTTAAAAAAAATTCGAAATCTCATACTTAGTATATTTTTTTTATGTTAAAGAACAAAAATATAATTTTTTTCCCATGTGAAAACACTTTTGTGTCAAACTGTACATATGGACGTACACATATACGTGCGACACAACTTTGTCGTCGAGCCTAAACGGGACTTTCCCAAATCT